AGCTGTTTCCATATTTTTCTTCTATTTTCACTTTTTTTCTTGTCCCTTCCTTCCTTTCTCCCTCCCTCCTCCCCTGTTCCTCTTCTCATTTGAACATTTTCGTCCCATTTCTCAATATCTATTACACATTTTAGTCCTTATTTCCACTTCCAGTTTCTCATACCAGAAAAATAATGCAGTATTTAAACATGTACGTCCAATTTATTCCACTTAAGAGTATGGACACCCTGATACAAAAAGAAAAAAAGATATGGAGATAGCCCCTGCATCTTCAGGGGGAATGATAAAATTCTGCATCATAAATGTGGCTGAAAGAATCTGATGATAATTTGTTAAAATAAAGACAGAAGTCAGAGTATCAGAGCCAGGCACTATAATCCTAGTACTCAGGAGCCTCAGGCACGAGGTTCACTAGTTTGAGGCCAAGCCTCAGCAACTTATTAGGACCTGTGTCAAGATGAAAAACAAAAAGAACTAGGGATGTAACTCAATGATGCAGCACCTGTACGTTCAATCCAAAATAAATAAGTCAGAAAATCAGTCATGTTCTGTCCAATATGACTACTGTTGAATACTGACTACTGTTACAAAGTTGTTTTGCTCTTTCTAATATATACATTTAAAACAAAACTGTCTTTGGGGTGGACATGGTGGTGTGTGTCTATAAACCCAGCACTGGGGAGGCTGAGACAGGAGGATCACCACAAATTTAAGGCCAGCCCATATCCAGACTCTGTCTCAAAAAAAAGAACAGCAAAGAAAACTGTCCTTGGATGTGCTATTCTTCTATACAGCTAAGATAGATGGAAATTAATAGGCAGCCAAAGAGGGATTGAGACCCTGAGGGAGTCAGTGCAGAAGGCAAAACACATCAAGATTGTGGCTGGAGGCAAATCTGAAGAGAGCCTGACCTCAAGATGAAGACACGATAGCCAGGCCTGGAAGCCTCCCTGGAGACAAACAGCAATTCGAGATATACTGTAATTAGCACCACTTGGTCCGGTGAGCCCAGGCAGGCATCATATCCACAGGTGGGTGACCAGAACATCTGGACCCCTACTCCCATCCCTTTTCAGGAACACCTTTGTTCTCTCCATAATTAGAAGTTATAGATAAGCTAAAATTAATGATGAATGATGCTTGTCGTATATCCTTGCTATGTGCCTTGCTCCCCTATTGGATCAATATTAGCTAAGCAACTATACTTGTAATCCTAATATAGGTTGATTGTAGTTTGACCCACACTGTACTCCCATGTTGTGATTTTGCTGTATAAAATACCACTGACAAAGAGCCTCAGTGGTCACCTACTTGGGAAACCTTCAGGAGTTACTGTCATTTTTATTTGCAATAAAACTCTCCTACCTCCTCCTTTGGTTCACATTAGCATTCTTTTTTTTTAACCTTTTCAACTAGTTTTTATATTGGTTCATGTTGAAACTATGAATCATCAGGGGGGACCCTATTTTCTAAATAAAAATAAACCTAGATCCTGCAAGGTTTACCATGAGAAGTCAAAAAGCAAAGAATGATTATTTAAGGAACCCCTGTTCTATCCCAAATTTTTGGATTCTCTTACTTTGGTTGCCAAATCCACACCATACCAGTACCCAGAGCCAACAGTAACTGTATCATTGCAGTTGTACTCTATATTAGTCCATTCAGGCTGCTATAACAAAATACTACAGACTGGGAGGCTTGTAAACAACAGAAGGTTATCCTGTGCTTACAGTTCCGGTGGATGAGGAGTACTGTACAAGATCAAGGCACTAGCAGTTGCTAGGTCTGACAAAGACCTCATAGACAACTTCTCACTATAACCGCACATATAGAAAGAGGTAAGCAAGCTCTTGCAGGTCTCTTTTATAATGATCCATCAGCGAAGGTCCTACCCTCATGACCAATCACTTCTCAAAGGTTCCCTCTCCCACTGCTATGACCTTAGGAGTTAGAATTTCAATATATGAGCTGGGGTGGGAAGGCACAGACAGTCAGATCTTAGGATAGTCTAGGTGTGGACATCACCCCTTTCCACATCCATTAGCATAGGGCTTGATGCCAACAGAACTAATTTAGGCCCAGAATTCACAGCTCTCATCCAGGTCACTCACCAGCTGAAAAACCCACCCACTAACCCAAACGACGTGGTACAAGTGTTCAGTGCCCTCCTCGGGTTCCTCATTTCGACCTGGAGGGCAAACTCTTCCACCCTAACCCTCCACAGGCCCCTCACTAGCACTCCTGACAGCCCCAGGATCCAGACAAAGTGAGGCCACCTGGTCTGTGGCTGCCTGAGTTTTCCCGCTCAGATCTCAGATGTAAATTTAAGGAATGTTCTTCCTCCTTCACAGAGCGCCACCCATCGTGAGAGACTTTACTGCTAAGACACAACCTGGCTTCGCAGAGAGCGGTGCCCTTCAGCACATTAACGCAGTGTTCTCAGAGTAAACTAAATAGCCATTCTAGCATGATCTTGAGCCTTCATTACCATATCTTCCTCCGCCAGGTCTGGATGGAGGATGAGGCCTTGGCCTCTGAAGTGCTGCCCTCCCTCTGTGACATTCAGAGCCTGCCACATGTGACAGGAGGCACCAAGCAGCATGTGGCCTGTGACTGCGTGCTGAAGAGGCCCCGCAAAGAACTTCCGTCGGGATTTGCTCTGCCCAGTAGCAAAGCTGATGTGGGAAAGGCAGTATGTGCCATGGAGAGCCAAAGAAGGCCTGTGCCTTGCCTTCTACGGGTACAGTTTCACAGACCTTACAGGTGTTCTTGGCACTTTGTGGGAGGAGCTTTGGGACCTCCCCAGTCCCTGGCTCTGATGGGAGCTGCTTCTCCTGGAGCACCATGAACAGGTCACCCCATGCCAGGGCACCCAAATACCCTTGCGTCCTCTTCATTCAGCACCAGTAAGTAAGGCTCGTCTGGCAGCTTCAGGGTACCTCAGGCCTTGTGGAGAGGCGCCCCAGACCTTCCCCAAGAGGCCCTTCCACACACTCTGGTTGACACCACTCACAGAACAGGATCCGGCTCTAAGGGCCATTATACTGTGTTCTCCCCAGGCCCACCAGGGCTGCTGCAAGGGGAAAAGGATATCATGTGAGGTACTTTCAGCCTAATACCCTTTCCAGCAAGAAGTGAGGATACAAGGACATACACATAGGCCTAAATGCATAAATATACTGATTTTAAATATTTGAAGATATTCAAGACCTCTTTCCTCTAAGTCCTTAGGCAAAAACAACCCCCTCTCAACTGAGTTCCCCTCACCCATGACAGCCCCATGTGCTTGGAAGGAGGTGTCTTCGGAGCCTCTCCACTCCCAGGCTGGGCTCACACTCCAACTCATTCTACATCATCATTATTTGATGTTGCGATACCATGAGCTTAGTACATATGAGATTTCCTTCTCTTATGGTCAAATTATATTCCACTGCATTATGTCCTATGATTCCTTCACACACTCGGCCATTGATTGACACTTCCATATCTTAGCTACTGTGAATAATGCTGCAATGAACATGTGGGTACAAATAATTCTGACACATGCTACTGAAACAGGAGATGAAGTATGAAAACATTGTATCTTCCAACCTGTGAGCTATCTGATGTGCTGAGTTCATGTTCTCTAAAATCGAAGAATGAATTCTAGGAATGACGGAGCTCAAGAGTAGGAAAATATTTATTGAGAGGATAGCTCCTGAGAGGCAAGAGGGGGGGTCCAGATTGAGTGGCCAAGGACTCCATTGTACAGGGAAGTTTTATAGAGCAAAACCCACATGGGTACAACATGGATTATAGCTATTATTACCCAGTAAGGTTACAAGTGTAGTTGCTTAGGTAATAGTGATCCAATGGAGAAACAAGTCATGTAACAAGTGTATATGGAAAGAACAAAGACTTTTTCCAGGAAATGATGGGTCCACAGGTCTTGGTCACCCACTGGGGTGACTAATGTCTATCCAGACTTCATTAGGCCCAGTGTTTGTCTTTTGAGGACATATGCATGCCTGGTCATTTTGTCTTTGTGTTGACACCTAATCTCCAACAGATGTGTCTGGTTGTGATGTATTATCTTTTGTGCTGACTCCCAGCCTTATCTGACTGCCTATAATATTTCTACCCAACTTAGCTGTCTGTAATACTACAAAATGGATGAAATGTAATGACTTTATGATAAGTGAAATAAGTCAGTCCCAAAAAGATAAACACTGGCACAAGATACAGTACTCAGTGAGACTCGTAAGAAAGAACAATAGTTATCAGAATCTGAGGGTAGGAGAGGAAATATGTTTAATGGGTAGAAGGCTCCAGTTTTACAAGATGAAAAGTTTGTGATATGGAATCTGGTGATGGTTGTACAATTTTAATGTACCTAATACTACTGACCTATACACCCAAAAAGAGTTAGCAGGGCATAGTGGCATTCTCCTGTAATCCCAGCATTCTGGGAGATTGAGACAGGAGACTTAATTCTATCTCAAAATAAAAACTAAAAAAAATGGGTGGGGATGCAGCTCTATGCAAAGGTCCTGGGTTCAATTCCCACTGTTTTTTTTTTTTAAGTATGCATGAGACTTTGGGTTGGATTCCTAAACACTGAAAGGAAAAGCGGGGGGGGGGGGTGTCAAGATGGCATATTATCTTACCACAATATTTAAAAATTAAATCAAGAAAAAGAAGGCAAAAACTGTGAAAACAAAGGACACTGGACTGAGATGTTAGAGCACTCTACTAGCATGCCTGAGATCCTGGGTTCAAATTCCAGTACCGCAAAAAGACCCAAAATTAAGCCACACTAACCAAAACCACAAGGAAAGCAGAACCTCGGGCCAACCAGATATAGCAGTTTAACACAGAGAAAAGGGGAACTAAAGGCGTGGCAACAGCAAGTCTCAGGCTTTGCCTGATGCTAGCCAAAGGTTAAAACGGGTCAACCCGCAGTAAAGCTGGCACTGAGCAGACGCAGATCCAAGCGGCCAGGCATCTTTTAAGTATGCCGGAAGTGACGCATTATATCTGAGACGGTCTGGGGAAGTTTGAGCTAATCCGGTAGGCCATCAGATCTGAGGCTGTGGTGCTCCGACTGCTATGAGCTGCACGATCGAGAAGATCCTGACAGACGCGAAGACACTGCTGGAGAGGCTGCGGGAACACGATGCAGCAGCAGAGTCGCTGGTGGATCAGTCTGCGGCGCTGCACAGACGGGTGGCAGCTATGCGGGAGGCGGGGACGGCGCTTCCGGACCAGGTCAGGCGGAGGGTAGCGGTCCAGTGCCCTGGGGTTGTAGGCGCTTGAAGGAAGCGAGATCAAGTAGGATCTCGACTTGGAGTTTATTCCCTGTATTGGGGGGCGATGGTGAGAACTTTCTGAGGGATCGGGCAGACAATCCTGCCCTACAGTTCTGACTCCTACCTCTTCAGTTGCATTTGTCGCTGTTCTGTTTACAACGTGCTTAGTCTGTCTATTTGTCCAGCATCAAGATGCATCCGACGTGAAGGACATGGCCAAATACAAACCTCACATTCTGCTGTCCCAAGAGAACACACAAATTAGAGACTTGCAACAAGAAAACAGAGGTTAGGCCTTTTGTGTATTTATTATTTTTTTCATCTCCGGTAATAGTTTGAAAGTTCTTACAAAACTGTCTTGACACTTCACAAAAGTGCACATATATTCCTATATTTCCAGCTCAATGCTTTTGATAGGGTTATCGCATTGGAAAGTTTGTCTAATTACCCTTTTTACGGTCATCTGATTTTGTGGTATATGCAGCATATTAAACAGTTGCTTAGTAGAGTTGAATTATTAGATGGCTTTTTTTAGGCATACCGGATGGAGGCTTGTATTAAAAAGAATTCAGGCCGGGATTTTAGCTCAGTGGCGCCGCGTCTGCCTTGCAAGCGAAGGTCCTGAGTTCAATCCCCAGTACCGAAATATAAATGAATAAATGAAAAGAATTCAGGCCTGGTGTGGCAGCCCATGCCTGTAATCCCAACACTTCAGAGGCTAAGACAGAAGGATAGCTGCAAGTTCGAGGCCAGCGTGGGTTACATAGTGAGACTTTGCCTCAAAATACAAACCAAAACAGGCCGAGGATTTAGCTCAGTGGTGCTGCCACCTGCCTCACAAGCACAAGGTTCCATAACCCGGTACCAAAAAAACCCACCAAAAAACAAAAAAGAATTCATAGTCTCAAAGGCTTAAAGTTTAATATTTAAATATTAATTAGAATAAAAACTGAACATTGAAAATTATATGTCTGTGCAGGGTGGAAGAGGAGACTTTTATCCTTGAGGTACAGTATATATTCATAGGCTTGATGGTACATTATTAATGATAGAAACATAATAGTTGTATATCAGTTTCCAGAGGGCTTTCACATCTATTCTTCCACTATATTTTCATATCTTCATTTTGAGGTAGACAAGGCAAATATTTATACAATGGACTAAAAAAATAAAAGAAAGAAATAGTCTCAGAGAGGTTAAATGCTTTTCTTATGAGTATTAAGCAAGTCACAGATCTGAACTCAGACTTTTGGGGTGCAAGGTACCAGGAATCAAACTCAGTACCTCAAACTTGCCAGCCAGGCGCTGCACAGCTGAACTACATCCCCGGCCCTCAAATTTATGTCTTTTGATTATACATCCTATATCATTTCTACTGACTATGGTGCCTCTGTCTAGAAAGTTGTTTTTCATGTAGACCTTAACTATTTGTTTTGTTTTATACAGAATCTCACTTATGTAGGCTAGGCTGGCCTCAGACTTATGGTAATCCTTCTCCCTCAGCCTCCTGGGTTCTGGGTTTACAGGCATGTGCCACCATGCCAGGGTTGGTTTTGAACACTTTAACCCCGATTTACAACTTTAGATTCATAGAATCTCATGGAATATAATAAAATTCTAACTGTTAAGAGTTTAGCTTTGACTTTTGTACATAGGGAGGGGAGGGGGTTTAAGGAGGGAAATGAGATAAAATAAAATTTATTTTTAAAAGAACAGAGTGTAATTTTGAGATCTATCTCTCAGATCACCGCCAAAGGCTTTTTCTTTGTTTGTTTGTTTGTGGTTTTTTTTGGTTAGAGCTGTGGGTTTCTTTGGAGGAACACCAGGATGCTTTGGAACTCATCATGAGCAAATACCGGAAACAGATGTTGCAGTTAATGGTTGCTAAAAAAGCAGTGGATGCTGAGCCAGTCCTGAAAGCTCACCAGTCTCACTCTGCAGTAAGAAACTCTGATGAATAAATTCTAAATGAACTGAATTGAAATTTTGAGATTGTTTTTGTTTTTCTACTTGTTTTTGGAGAAAAGTAAGCTTGTTTTACATTCATGTTTATCTCATTCATTGTTTATTTTGCTATAGCTTTGTAAAAATATGAATAAAAAGAAGAGATGAAGGGCTGCTCATGTCCTTTTGAATGCCTCTAAGGCTCCTCCCTCCCATCTTGAAAAAACTTTTCAAGATGTTGATGAATGTTTAGCTCTTCCACTGTTTAAACATAATACCAGTTAGTGTTGAAGGTGTGCAGTAAGCATTTGGTTGTTTATTCCTTGTATATTTTACTGAACTGTTTGTTGATTATAAGGTGCATTAATTCACATTTTATCCCTAACACAGTACCTGTCACACAGCAGGCAGTCAGTAAATTAATTATACTATTTTAAACTAAATGTACTAGTTGGACATGGTGGTACATGACTGTAGCCCCAGCACTCGGGATCACTATGAGTTCAAGGCCCACCTGGACTGCATAGTGAGACCTTATCTCAATCAATCAATAAAAATTTTTTCATTAAAAAAGAAAACAATTTTTTTTTTCCAGTACCGGGGTTCGAACTTGGATCCTTGCACTTGCGCAGCAGGCAGTGAAACCACTGAGTGAAATCCCCGGCCCATAAAACAATTTTTTAAAAAACTTTTAACAACTATTAGGAGAGAGAAAACTTAAGCCAGACATGGTAGTGCACACCTGTAATACCAGCTTCTTGGAAGGCTGAAGCGGGAGGATCACAAGTTCAAGGCCAGCCTGAGCAACTTTTCAAAACCTTGTCTGAAACACCAGCATAGTTTCATTAGTTGCTTACGGTTTAATTTGGGAGACCCTGTAGTTTTTCTTTTTGCTGAGCACTCTGTAGTTGTACATTTACATGTACTATATTCTTTAATCCAGGGTTAATAGAGCGGAGCCTTAATTTCAACAGTGAAATGTAGTGAAGAATAATCTTAGATTCTGTCAAATGCATTTTACTGACTTAAAAGTTTTAAAGAACAAGAATGTTTTAAATATTTGAATGACTTTCATCTGAAAGAGAAAAATAAATTTTATTTTCTGTGGGCCAGAGGAGAATACTTGAAGAAGACAATAGTTTAACTCATATAAAAATAATTTCTAAGAGATATATCCACAGGTAAAGCACCTTGTAATATTGTAAGCTTCCTGCCAATAAAAGTAGTCAAAGTTAAATTGAACACCACTTAATGATATTGTCCATCCAGGTGTGGTATGGCACCCTCTAATCCAGCACTATGGGAGGTAGAGGCAGGATTGCAAGCCCATCTGGGCAGTTTAGCAATTTAGCAAGACACTGTCTCAAAAAGGGGGTAGGGATGTACCTCGGTGTGAAACCCCTTGATTCAATCTCCAGACCTGCAGACAAAGGAAAAAAGACTGTCCAATATCCAATCAGTGATTAGATCAGAGTTTATCTTTTGTTTTTGTACTGGGTATTGAACCCAAGACCTTCATACTGAACTACATCCTCAGCCCTTTTTAAAAAAAATTTTTTTTTTTTTTTGCCGGGGATTTAGCTCGGTTCTGCTGCCTGCCTCCCAAGCACAAGGTCATGAGTTCCATCCCTGGTGCCGAAAAAAAAAATTTTTTTTTAAATTTTGACACCAGATCACTCTAAATTGCTAAATTACCCAGGCTAGGCTGAATTTGTGCCTTAGCCTCCCAGAATCCTGATATTATAAGCATATTCCACCATACTCAGCTACAGTTGGTTTTTTAAAAATGAAAATTATTTGTGAATATCACAAGCTCATTTATTATGATAGTGTTACTATAGGGTAACTTCTGTAGCTTAGATTAAGTGAACTTTTTTCCCTATTAACATTTTTCTTTTTTCAAGGTAATAGGTTTTTTAAACTAATGTTGAAGAATTATATGCACGTTATATTTTTCATATCTGTAGGTAAGATTTTTTCACCCTTTTTTTTCCAAAGGAAATTGAAAGTCAGATTGATAGAATCTGTGAAATGGGAGAAGTGATGAGAAAAGCAGTTCAAGTGGACGATGACCAGTTTTGTAAGATTCAGGAAAAACTAGCCCAATTAGAGGTAAGAATGTTGCCTGTAATTGCAGCACTGGAGAAGCTGAAGCAGGAGGATCACTGCAAAGTCAAGGACAGCCTGGGCTACATAATGAGCTCAAGGCCAGCCTAAACTACATAGCAAGGCTCTGTCTCAAAAAAAAAAGTTCCTCCTTCATAACCTTTTCATGAAAGGAAATGTAGTGAATAACAGTCAATGAAAATATCAAATACGTATTGGCAGGGTAGGAAGAGTGGAAGGGAACAAGTTATACGTGAGCTGATGTCCCTCATCTGCCATAATAGGTAATGTCTAAAATAGATGATCAGGAAATAGCAGTATAGGCATATTATTTAGAATTATGAAAGTAAATAACAAAGGAAACATAAAAAGTGGTAACAGGGAAGAAAGCCAAGGAACTTCTGTTCATTTTATAAGCATTATAGTCTTGTTTTTTTTAAAGGCTAATTTCATGTAATAGTTTGATTAAAATAGTAATATATAAAACAAGAAAGATCTAGGGTAAATAGTGTGCCCATAAAATTGTTAAGGGAGGTAGATGTGATGGCCCACACCTATAATCCTAGTACTTGGGAGGCTGAGGCAGGAGGGTCATGAGTTTGAGACCACCCTGCAATACATAGTTCAAGGACAGCTTGGAAGACATAGTGAGACCCTGAAAAATAAAAAAGCCCTCCCCATCAAAAAAAATTTTTTAGTTAAAGGAAAAGATTTTAGTATTTAAATTTGAATGCTTGTTACAGGTGCTATCAGAGACTCCTTGAGAAATACCAGAGGAAAAGAAAGAGAGAAAAAGATGAGGTCCCTGCCCAAAGTTTAGTGGAAGAAACAAGACTAGTACTTATAAGACGGGAAGTACTTTATATGGTAGATGTGTTGACCATGGACCCTGACCGCTCAGTAAAGCTGGAAATGCTGTGGTTTATGAGAATTTCCTGTGGAAAGTAAAGATGAGTATAAACTACCCTATCTGGAAATCAAAGGGGCTGGCAGGTTCCCAGTAGGAATTAGGAGTTAGTTAAAACTGTATTTATCCATGTACAACACTCTGTATTTATTCATTTATCCACATACCAAAAAATCTACACTTATTCATGTACAAAAATTTACATGTATCCAAATATAGTCAAGTCACTTTCTTCTGGAGCATTGCCCTAACTTTCCAAACCCCGAATTCCAGCCTGAATTTCTAGTGACTCCATTTCCTATAGAACCATTGGCCGTAATCTCTCGTGTCCAGCAATAAAGCTGTCCTTAAATGAGAACTTCTTGTCCATGTATCCTGCTTGTAATGCATCACTACGACACACAGTGTACTGAATTATGAAGATTCATATTAGACACAAACTTGTCCATTTGTTATCAGTGCGCACATTATTCGCGCATTGTGTCTGTGCTCCGATTGGTCATTCAGCAGTAAGTCTCAAGTTCATCTGTTTATGTAGGCATTTACTTCTCATCCAAAGGTAGCTGCTTGTGTATTTACAAATACTTAATTATAATTTATATTATCATTTTAAGCACTAATGTCAATAATATTTATTTAGATTTAATTGTTTTTTGGATTTGTTTTTTTTTTTGGTATAGGGGATCAAACTCGGGTCCTTGCCCTTTCAAGGCAGGCGGCGGCACCACTGAGCTAAATCTCCAGCCCTATTTATATTTAATTATATACTAATATTTATAATTCAATATGTCAATCGTGTGTTGCAACAGACATACTAAATGCATCCATCTGGCTGATAGTCTTTTTTTGCAGGGAGGGTTTATTTTGAGACAGAGTCTCACTATGTAATTCAGACTGGCCTTTAACTCACTATGTAGCCCAGGTTGGCTTCAAACTCATGCCGATCCTCCTGCCCAGCCTCCCAAATACTGGGATTACAGGTGTGCACCACCATGCCCAGCCACAAGGAATTTAACTGAGGCTATTTTGGTGGTAGGGCTCTTATTATGAAACATCCTGAAAAATCATGCTAGGATTAATTTTCTGGTTAGGTCTTATTTTGGGGGAAATATGTATATAGAAATTACTCAGTAGATGTTAAATAAATAAAGAAGTATCCTAGAAAATTCTCAACTAGTGTTTTTTTTGTTTCCTTGAAACTTTTAAATTAAAATCTGTTTTCTGCTCCTGGCCCAAAGCAATGTGTTCTGACACAGTTTAACAGTTAAAAAAAAAAAAAACAGGAAATAAAGTATAATTTTTTTTTTTTTTTTGCAGCTTGAAAATAAGGAACTCCGAGAATTATTATCCATCAGCAGTGAGTCTGTCCAGGTCAGAAAAGAAAACTCAACGGTACTGCTTCCCAACCCATCAAATAACTGAGCTCCTGATCGATGGCTAGAGATTGCCTATCAAGGAAGGAAGTTACTATCTTTCCATTTGAGTAACGTCCTTTCAGTATCTTACCTGAAACTTGATGTAGTGTTGATTAAAGGTATCAAGTGGCAGTTTAGAATTCCTAGTCAGTACCTGCTGTCCACAGAACAGGTTTTTGGGTGTATTAGAATATATACTGAGTTTCACCCTTCCTTTCTCTAAGAGACTGCTTTTCATTTTTATTTCTGGGACCTCAATTTATATAAACTATTTTCAATTCATTTCTGTTTTTCGCATCTTTGAAACTTTGAACATTTTATTGTAAGCCAATAATCTTATTTTATATAAGACTGTAAAATATACACCTAACAATTTTTAAAAGAGATTTAATTTTTTTAAATCTATTTGGCAGAAGCTGAATTTTTTTCCATTTGACAAAAGTAATATGATTCCACAGAACTAAATTGGCAGATTCTCTGGTTTGTAATGTCATTCACCTGGGAAGCTTTGATTCTCTCTGGTGCTTGGAGTTGGCACTCTGGTCAGGTGTCTTTACTCTGAATTTGAGAGGACCTACTACTACCATCGTCCCAGGGAATGTACTTGAAAACAAGTGATAGTATAATTGTTAAATAATTCAGAGAATGCTGAGGGACTTGTCCTGTGTATGTACATGCACACATGCATGTAATTCAAATGCCAAAAGATTTCATATATTTGGTTAAATATAAGTAGTCTTTGGCTGGGAGGTGTAGTTCAGTGGTAAAACACTTGCCTAGCATGTAAAAGGCCTTCGGTTCAGTCTCTAAGACCTCATAAATAAATAAATGAATAATTTTCACTTAGTAAGAAATCTTCCACTTAAATAGTTTACCAAAGTGTGAAGAGCAGAACATGTCATAGCTTTATCTACATCACAGTTCTTAGATCTATATAACTTTGTACTTAAGAACCACCACTTGCTTGATGTTTCTTTGCTAACACTAATAGTTGGCTTTCTTTTTTAGATCTGTTCTTTTACATGGAAGCATTTTTATTACCTAACGAGAGCTGTTAACATTCATAATGCTGTGTAGGCTAACAACAAAGCAAAATTGAGATTCAAATGCTGAGTTGTCAACTAAGTTCACTTACCTCATTCCCATGTTTCAGTTACTTATATTACAAATTTATAAATTACATCATTATGTTATCCATTTAGGTTTGCCCAAAGTATTTGATTGAAACAGTGGATCCCAAACCTGTCGATATTTTCTAGTAATATTACATACCATACTGCATGAGAGAAACACAGTGTTATTTGCTAGTTCTTTGTGTGCTGTAAAATTTCTTTTGTACTGCTCTAACAAACTAATTCCAGATGAAACAACAAAATCTACAAGATGTCCTGAAAACATCTGATCCCTACAATACCAATGAACTTTGTTAGAGTAGTAGGATAGTAAGCATACATCATTTTAGAAATTTTCAAGTTTGTATTTGATGTCCTGCAGAGATTTGACTGAAAATGCTTTCACCCCCAAGTGAGAGCATTTTTATTTCATTTCCTAAAAGTAAAGTGGGCTGGGGATTTAGCTCAGTGGTTCCACTGCCTGCCTTGCAAGCTCAAGGACCCGAGTTCGATCCCTGGTACCAAAAAAAAAAAAAAAGAGTAAAGTTAGTCCAGCTGTTTGCCTTGAAGTATGCCCTAAGTGCCCTAGGTTGTCCCCCAAGCCCATTTAGGAGGCAGGTATCCTGTATCATTTATCAGCCAGTATGGCCAGGTTTCATGGAAACTGACAAAGTTATCCATTAGTCTATTAAGATATAATATGGTGGGCCGGGGATTTAGCTCAGTGGTTCCGATGCTTGCCTCAAAAGCACAAGGACCCGAGTTCGATCTCTGGTACCAAAAAAAAAAAAAGATATAATATGGGGTCTCTTTACCTGCCTCATGCTCTTTTAGAGCTGTTTATGGAGTTCTTTATAGCTCAGGTATCAGGATCAATCTATATGTTAACTCTCCCCTCACCCCCAGAAAATCAAAAGCTTGAAATAAGAGTGTAAAGAGCGGGTGAGGCATGGTGGTGCACACCTGTAATCTCAGCACTTGAGAGCCTGAGTAAGGAGAATTGCCATGAGTTCAAGGCCAGCCTGGGCTAGAGAGTGAGTTCAAGGCCAGTCTGAACTACATAGTGAGACCCTGTCTCAAAAAAAAAAAGTATAAAGAGCTTTCAGTGCCCTACATAATATAAATTCTGGCTGGGCTAGTATTAATGTTGTGAAGGTAATGTGTAGTTATAAAATTGAATGGAGGAGGAATATTAATTTCTCTTTTGCAATGGGTGAAGGGAATTGACTGGCATGCAAAATTTTAGTATGAAATTATTTCTAATAAAAGGCTATTTTTGAGAACATTAGTTGCTTTTTGCTTTTGAGACAGGAACTCACTGTGTAGCTTAGGCTAACCTTAAACTTGCAGCAATCCTGTCTCAGGCTTCTGAGTGCTGGGAGTACAAGCATAATCCAGCACATCTAAGACATTAGCTAATTTTACTCAGTAATGAGTCTAACTACTAAGAAGTACAGAGAAGTTTTGTCACCTTAAAGCAACCTAGTTAAGTACTTATGACAAAGCTTTCATAAATAGTTTATAATTAGCACAATATATTCAACACAGTAACTACAAATAGCATCTTATACTGACAAGGTATTAATTACAGCAGTACCTTATGCATGATTCAGACATTCAAGGTATTTTTCAGTGCTCCTCAAAACATAGCTCACTCAATATACTGAAATAGAAATTTGAAGATGTGATTCCAGGAGTTTGTATTTTTTAAATCTTCATAACTTTCAGTATGAAAGTTTACACAGTTTAAGACTGTATAGTCTACGTGTAAAGCCTTTCATTCAGAGTTGAGTTGAAAGTGAAGAAAAGACCCATTGATACTTTTCAAAGATAAGTTTGGTAAGGGAAGACAGTGCACATTTGATGTAACGTAGTATGATGAATCCAATATAAGTACCTACAGGATCCAGAGGAAGATTATTTAAACTTGAGAATCTAATAGGGACTGTGAATGGCTAGGACTGTTAGGAAAGCTTGGTGCCACAGGAGCAAAGTATGGAAGTATTGCCAATAATAACAACCATTACACCGTGTGTGAGGTACTAATACATAATCTCCATTTCAGCGGTGCCTCATTTTATAGTTACTCAGGCACAGGAGGTTGTTACTTATCCCAAATGGAACCATTCAAACTTAGGCACTCTTAAATACATTTTTTTTGGTACCCAGGATCGAACTCAGGACCTTGCACTTGTGAGGCAGGCAGCGGCACCACTGAGCTAAATCCCCTGGCCCTTTTAAATACATTCTTAACCAGTAGGTTTAATCTCCAAAAACTGTGCGGAGTTCATGGCAAAATCTATTACTAACAGGGCAAAAAACCCCCACCAAGTTATATGGTAGGAAATATAACTCAATAAATGGAGTTAGCTAATGAGCTGTAATTACTCTGTTTTCTACAATGATGTAGCTGAGAATATGTGTCCATGTAACTGAAAGAAGCAATGCTTAATCAATGGTTCTTTGTGCTCACAAGAAAGGATGCAATTCTGGCTTTCAAGTATGCTTCCAGCCAGGTATAGTGGCACACTCCTATAATCCCAGCATTTGGGAGGCCACAAGTTCAAGACCAGCCTGGGCTACATAGTGAGTTCAAGGCCAGCCTCTGTCTCAAAAACAAAATAAAACCCTTCTTCCTTACCATGTTTCATGTTATTTGCCTATAGTTACTAGAAGGTTGCTGTCTTGCCCATGTTGAAAGTAGGAAATGCCCTATGCCAGTTATACATGCCACCTTTTTATTTTTATTTATTTTTTCTTTTGTGGTATCAGGGATCGAACTCAGGACCTTGTGCTTGTGAGGCAGGCAGCAGAACCAGTGAGCTAAATCCCCAGCCCTATCATACCACCTTTTATAAAGAAAATCAAAGCTTTGCTAGAAATGCCAAGCAGACTTCCCCTAGCCATATTTGTTGGACCTGTTAAATAGCCACTTGTAACTGCAAAAGAGGTGGAGTACATAGCTGCCCCAAATAAAATCAGTATTCTATTAGCAAAGAGAAACTATTGAGAAAACAAGTGTTTGGCTATTACATTGTCCAAGTCCCTTTACCTTGAATATAATTTTTAACAAGTGTGAGCATTAGCTGAGAGAATATATTAATGTTCAGTAGCCAAGGGAACAGGCTGTGGCATACGCTCCTAAAAAACTTGAAAGTGTTGGATACTGTACATGTTTTCCCAGCCTCCTTTACAGCTAGGAAAGATACATCTGCCTTAAACTTCAAAATTAATGATAAAGCTGGACATGGTGGCACAGGCCTGTAATCCCAGCACTCAGGATGCTGAGACAGAAGAACCACAGTTCAAGGCCAGCCTGGATACATAGCAACTCTGTTTTCCAAAAAACAAAGACCAAGTTCATGATAACAGTGAAGCAGGGAACTGTGAGTTCTGCTCTAGTGAGAGGCAGCAAAAGTGCGTTTTTTAGTGACAACAGTCTGCAGTGTCAGCAGTGTCAGTGGTGTCAGCTGCAGTGTCTAACAGTGACACTGGGGTCTTCACTGAGTAGTGCCCTGATGTTACAGATATATAACCTCACTTTTCTTTTCCCCCCTTCTTTCTCATCTGCGTGTGTGTGTGTGTGTGTGTGTGTGTGTGTGTGTGTGTTTTATACTGGGGATTGAACCCAGGCCTCCCAAATGCTAGCTAAGCACTCTACCACTGAGCTATGTCCCCAGCCATTTTTTAAAATTCTGAGACAGTCTCACTGAATTGCCCAAGCTTGCCTCGAACTTTCAATCCTCCTTCCTTAGTCTCCTGAGTAGCTGGATTATAAATGTGCACCATAACACCTGGCTGAAACTGTACAGCTTCTAATTCTGGTTTCCTGGCTGTCCTACAGATTTTTGTGAGTGACTTTGTAAAACATCGTTCTTTGTTAAATTTAACCCAAATTTCCTGTAACTAAGAATGCTGACTGATGAGCATAGTTTTAAAAAAATGCACATATATATTTTGTCAATACTTTATAAATTATTTTGCAGTTATATTTTACTATAATATTTGACACTTATACAAGGATAAAAGCAGCATGCAAATAAATTATTAAGCACAATAATTCATCACTTAAGAATTAAAACATTACCAGTGCTGGGGCTGGGGGTATAGCTCAGTGGTAGAACATTTGCACAACATGCCTGAGGTCCTGGGTTTGATCCTCAGCCCCACCAAAACAAAAATAAAGTAGTATCAATGCTTTGTATTTGTCTGTTTCTGTTCCTATCTCTCCCTACTGCCCCTGTTCCATTTTATAATTGGTTTTAATCATAGGTTTAAACAACCTAAAATGTATATATATCTGAAAAGTAACTTTTTAAAAAATATTTTTAGTTTCATTCTTTTTATGTGCTTTATAGAAGTAGTATCATAGTGTACGTAGTCTAAAGGTTTTTGTAATCTTAAAGGTTTTATTTTTTTCAGTGTGTTTCTAAGATTTGTACCTGCTGTAAATAGCTGCAATTTGTTTATGTATATTTCATCCTGTGATTATACAATATATTATTAAATATATACATATGGGCTGCAAGTGTAGCTCAGTGGTAGGAGCAAGCTTAGCATGCATGAGGCTCTGGGTTTGATCCCTGGGACTGAGAAAACTGTTATAATAAAATAAGTTTTAAAAAAATCCAGGCCAGCATTCAACTGACTTTTAACTCTCCCTCCAACTGTCATATTTAAATTAACCACATTTAAAGAGAAGCAGTCACATTTCATGTTTTGCAGTTACCTCACTAGTCTATCATGGCAACTTTCAAGGGAATTAAGGAGTATTACCTATCAATCAGTGGAAAGGAGATTGATGCCTTTTCTTTGTCATTCTCCATGAACACTAAAGGAAGCAGAACCTTCAAAGTTCCAACTAACTACAATTGTGTGGAACTAATGGATGGATTTCTGTAGGTTATTGATCCGGAGATTCATTTTAATTTCATACCATCATCTCTGAAATTGAAATATCTCTCATACAAAGTCATGACATGATTGTTTGTAAGCATATGCAAAATTCCTGGTGGATACTGGAGAAAGTCAATCAGCATTATGGCATTTGAGAAAGAATATGTGTTTTGGCTTTTTTTTTTTGAGATGGTCTTGCTATGTAATTCAGGCTGGCCTCAAACTCATGGCAGTCCTCCTGCCTCAGCCTCCTGACTGCTGGGATTACAGCACTCAGGAGGCTGGCCATTTTCTGTGAACTTTTTAGACATTTTGTAAGTTCAAAAGAATGCCAGTGTGATAGCCAACCTGACCATTTGTGTAAAGTCCAGTGATTCCGGGTGATCGCCTCCCCCTTCTCCCCTTGGGAGTCCCCTCAGTTAATGCATGACAGACTGCTGCATCCTGCAGTCTGCAAGCATATGTTATCTTTACAACCTTATAAACAGGATACTCCGCACCTGTGTGATATTTTGTTTCAACTAAACTGTGTGAAACTTCCCTGACCCCCACTGACTTAGCAAAGCTCTGTTCCTGTGAAATTCCACTTGTGCTCTCCCTCTCCCTGAGCCCTCCCCAATTAGAAGAGCTGCTTAAAAGAAACCTGCAAGCTGCTTTTTATTTTCGAGAGTTTTCCAAGCGTGAGCTTGCTCTCCACTGACAATAAAAAGGACTCAATTTGGCTCAGAATGTGGTGATTCTCTATAATCTCTCACAATGAGGTATAACACCAGCATGAAAATGTGGAATGTGAACCCAGGTAGTGTTGTAGTGCACACCTATAATCCTAGCACTCAGGAGGCTGCTGCAAGAGGATTGCTGCAAGTTCAAGGCCAGCTTGGGCTACATAGTGAATTCAAGGCCAGCCTGGACTATATAACGAGACCTGTCTCAAGAAAAAAAGAAGAGGCCAGTCATGATAGTGCATGCCTCTAATCCCAGGATTTGGGAGGCTGAGGCTGGAGGATCACCATGAGTTTGAGGACAGCCTGGGCTACATAGTGAATTCAAGGCCAGCCTGAACTGCACAGTGAGACCCTGTCTCAAAAAAGAAAAAGAAAAAATAATATTGCTAATACTTGTTTCCTCATGAAATCTAAAGTTGAATAGTTTTACATTTTCTCCATAAAGTTCAATAAACTATCTTTGCTACCAAAAAAAAAAAAGTGCACTTGATTAGGTCAGGCAGAACCAGAATAATCTCTCTTGATTAACCCAACTACAGGTCTTCATTACACCTACCATAATCTCTTTGCCATAAAAGTGATAATGATGTACTCTCATCCTTATATCCCACCCATGCTGAAGAGGCGAGGATGATACAAGACATGTATTCTAGGCGAGGGAGGTTTGGTCGCCATCTTGAAATCTGCCTACCAGAATGGCTGTTAGCAGCTTGGAATAAAATCCTGGATATAATGAAGCACTGTGCGGAAACATTACATCACCTGTATTATTTGTGGCCCATAAATAATTCTGTGTAGAAAAATCTGGATAATTAATGAGCCAAAGAGATTTAACAAGATTCTCCAATGGGTAGCAAATTAGTAGACTAAAGTTTAAGCAGAAACAGGATGTCTGCACATGTTTAAACACTGCCTTAAAAAAAAAAGGGCTAAAATTAAAATGTACAACAGATAATTGGGAAATGGGAAGAAAATATTCAAATGGGAAGGGGAACAAGGGAGGGGGGAGGGAGAAAGGAAGGAAAGGGCAAGAAAAAAAAGTAAAAATAGGAAAAATGGAAACAGCTTTTGCATATAGGGAGGGGAGGGCCTTGAGAAGAAGGGGAATGGGAAAAAGGGGAGAAGCAGGATGTGTCCTGTACAGGTGCAAATTCCCTGTGTTGAGTGTTACTGTGTATATCTAAAATGTACCAATAAATGTTTTGCTAAAAAAAAAGAAACAAGATGTCTGCATAGTCTCTGTATTAGTACCTTAAAGTTGCCATAACAAATTGCCCCAAGTTGGATGACTTCAAACAATAGAACTTTATTCTCTCGTTTTTCTGGAGGCTAGCAGGCTAATCAGTCTGTTGACGCCTTCTAGATGCTGTGAAGGAGAAACGTGTTTAATGCCCCTCTGCTAGCTTCAGATGCTTCTGACAATTCTTGGCCTTTTTTGACTTACTAATCTGTGTCTTTGTTGTTAAGTTTTTGTTGCTGTTTGTTTGTTTGTTTGTTTTGAGACAAGTTCTCCCTTTGTAGTTCAGGCTGGCCTTGAACTCACTATGGAGCCCAGGCTGGCCTCAAACTCACAGCGATCAATCCTCCTGCCTGGGCTTCCTGAGTGCTGGGATTACAGGCATGCATCACCAACCACACTGCTTGGTTTGGTTTTGAGACAGGGCCTCGATGTAGTTCAGACTGACCTGGAACTCACTATGTAGCTCAGGCTAGCCTGGAACCTGCAGTGATCCTCCTGCCTCAGTCTCCTGAGTGCTGCGATTATAGGCACGCGCCACCACTCCTACCTGTTGTTTATTTTATTCTTGTTAGTTTTTTGTTGTTTTTATTTTGTGGTAGTGGTGAAGGAAGCCAAGGCTTGCACATTGAGCTATATCCCCAGACATTTATTTTTTTATTTTTTGGCAGTACCGGGGATTGAACTCAGGACCTTGTGCTTGTGAGGCAGATATGGTGCCACTGAGCTAAATCCCCGCCCCATTTCTTATTTTTTATTTTGAGACAGTGTCTTGCTAAGTTACTAAATTTCGAAGGTGACACTTGAACTCTCAACCCTCCTTCCTCAGCCTCCCAGAGTCCTGGGATTGGAGGCATGCTAATGCCTCTATCATGACTGGCCTCTTTTCTTTTTTTCTTGAGACATACCAATTCCAATTTCTGTCTTCCAATAGTTCTATTGTTATATGTCTCTTGTCTGCATCCAAAATTCCATTTTCTAAGGTCATTAGTCATTATGTTCAGGTCCACCCTAATCCAATATGGCTTCTTAACTTGACCACACATGCAGACTCTATTTCCCAATAAGGTCCCATTCTAAGGTTCTGAGTGGACATGAATTGGGGGGTGGAGGGGGATACTATTCAACCCAGTACAGTTACAAAGGGAAAACCAGTAATTTTACAATGGAGTATCCTGGCAGGCAACTAATTAAGGTAATGCATTTTCATATCGATACACACTGGCATGACACCAGGAGAAGAACATCGTCTTTGGAGTATTCTTCCAAATGCAGTCATGCATCACTTTGCTGACCAGAATACATTCTGAGAAACACCGTGGGTCAGTTTCGCCCTCTATGAACACCACGGGTACACTCACACAAACCTAGAAGACCATACAGGTCCGTCATGCAATGTGGCTTCTGGGTGCAGTTGAAACTTGGTGAACACAAGATGTATGAGGTTGCTGCCAAGATAACATACATACTGTTGTAAAATTTTTGTATAAATAGAACATGCTAAAATAATGATTTAAAAAATGCATAAAACCAGCAGCCAGGTGTGGTGGTACATATCTGTAATCCCAGCACTCAGGGGACTGAGGCAGGAGGATTGCCACAGTTCAAGACCAGCCTGAACTACAGAGCAAGACCATGTCTCAAAAAACAAAAACAAAAACCCACCGTAAACCAGTGACATAAACATTTATTACCACTAACAATTATGTACTATGCAAAATTGTATGTGATGATGCCGCAACCTGCACAGTAGGGTCCGAAGCCAGGGAGAGTTGTGGGAGAAAAGACAACGAAGAGACCAAGACTGTTCTTTTTTGGTACCGGGGATCAAACTTGGGACCTTGCCTTTGCGAAGCCAGCGGTGGAACCAAGATTATTCTTGATAGCTGGGAGCAGGTGGGACCATAGCCTGATGAGCTAATGGCCGCCTGGAGTCCAGGGCGCTCTGTATTTATAGTGTAGGAAGGTGGGTAACTAGTGCCGTCCAGGATCTACAAACTAATTTTGAATCTATGGAGGAGTAGGGAAGAGAAGAAGGGCCATCTTCAACCTCAGTCCCGGGCATGCTAATACTTTTACAGGACTGGCAGTGTGCTAAATTGTGTGCACCATCATCACCATGAAGACAAGAGTAACAGAAATGAGTGTGATAGTGTATGCCTTTAATCCCAGCAGGTGAGAAGCTGAGACAGGAGGATCACCGAGAGTTCGAGGCCAGCCTGAACTATTACATAGGGAGACCTTGTCCCAAAACATCAAATAAATAAATAAATAATAAATAAATAAATAAATAAATATTCTAGCTTGGCTTGATGGTGCATGCCTATAGTCCCACCTACTTGGAAAGCTGAGGCAAGAGAATTATATGACCTCAAGAGTTCAAGACAAGCATGGGCAACACAGCAAGACCCCCAACTTTACTTTTTTTGCTGTTTCTGTTTTTGGTACTGGGGATCGGACTCCGGTCTTTGAGCTTCCGAGGAGGCAGGTGGCAGAACCACTGAGCTAAATCCCTGGCCTTCCTTTTTTTTTTTTTGACAGAGCAAGAAGCTTACTTTAAACACTTGTACATTCCTGTTCACAATAATAGATATAAGTTGTTGTGTTATAAAAATATACAACAAACTCTTTTAAGAAATTGAATTGTGGCTGGGCATGATGGCACACACTTGTAGTCCCAGAACTTGGGAGGCTGAGGCAAGAGGATTGCCACTGAGTTCGAGGTCAGCCTGAGCCACACAGTGAGACCCTGTCTCAAACAACAACAAAAAATTGAATTGTATTAAAGCTTGATGATTCCTATAATAAATAGATTACAATAAAACTGTAGTCATCGGCTAAGTTCCAGTAATTGTTTTTCATTCTCTTTGACTTTTTCTCCTGGTCTTCTGTTATCCTTTCCGCAGGTCACTTCTTCAGTCTCTTCATTTGCCTCGTGTGTAGTTTGTTTAGGTGTTGTTTCTGCATATGAATCCTTCCAGAAGTTGTACCAAAAGTATCGTGGAAGATATTTTCCTTCTTTGGCTTGAGGGCTTTCAGCATTTTCATAGATCACTTACAAAAATCATCTGAGGCAAGCTGTGTCCTCCTCAGAACCAGACCCAATGAAGGTCCTGTCTCTTCCAACTCAATCTGTGGTGTTCTTCAACCTGATTTCTTCAACAACTTATAGCTTTGAAAGTAAACCTTCCTCTCAGAGCAGTGAGGTACAGTCGCCAATACCCAGCCACAGATATTTGCTACTATGGGACCTCTGAAGAAATCAGTAAGAAGACTTTGTAGTCTTCTGTTACATCAAAATCATCACCAGCAAATATTAACATGGGCTTTGTTTTGTCAGGACAGTTACTATTCTTAATATTTTTTAGACACACAAATTTCTCAATACCTAATTCAATCACATTCAGCACATGGTAGTCATACATATGACCTATTGCTGTTATTGGGCCGCTTCTTATTATGGGATCCAAACATGAATAAAGATCAATCTGACTTATTTGAAAAAAATTCCAGTGATGTTGCATGGTCTTGTAATATTTTTCTTGTTTCTCTTCCTCCCCCTTCCCATATTTTTCTTTCTTTATACAGAACTCCATAGAGTTCTGGGAGTTTGGGGGGCGTTTTTTGGTACCAGGGATTGAACTCGGGTCCTTGTGCTTGCGAGGCAGGTGGTGAAACCACTGAGCTAAATTCCTGGCCCCAGAACTCCATAGAGTTTTTTCAGTGCATACATACCTTTCAGTACTTGTGTCACTGTTGCATTTGCATTTCCCCCTTTAATCAGCATGGCATTTTTAGTATTTTCATTAAGTTTCAGTTTTCTCTTCTCAAGCAATCTTTTGGCCCTTTTTGTTTTGGGCTTTATACTTCAGTCCAAGGTATCCATTGCTACCACAATCTCAGTCTAGCCAATACATGTGCACAGCATGAATCAAGACCCCATCTATAAATAAATGTACTTTTCTAAATAAAATGGGAATGGTACTGGTAATTGACCCCAGGGTCTCTCACATGGTAGGCAAGCATTATCTCATTGAGCTATAAATCAGGTGTGGTGGTACACACCATAATCCCAGCACTTGGGAGGCTGAGGCAGGAGGATTACCTCAAATTCCAGGACAGCCTGAACTACATAGCAAGATGCTGTTTTTGTTTTTGTTTTTGGTACCAGGGATCGAACTCGGGACCTTGCACTTGCAAGGCAGGCAGCAGAACCACTGAGCTAAATCCTCAGC